AATGTCCTTGTGCCCCTTGGCAATCCCTTGCAGCCCCACTCTGGTCTCACTTTTTTGTTGTCTACCTCCCCCAGCGATGAAATTACTTATCTGCTGTCTGTGACTAAAGAATGTACACACATACACACACACACACACACTTTTTGTCTGACTTTTTTTACTCAGCATTCATCTGTTGATAGATACATGTGTTGCAATTGTTATATACAAAGAAGTCACATCTTTCTGGGGGCAGTTGTATGCCAAGTACAAAGGCCAGAAATAAGTCCAAAATAATTTGGAAGTTCCTTATTTCAACAGAAGTCAGGATTACTGAATTGTCTCCCAGGGTATAGAAGTTGGGTGTTGTCTATTTATATTTGATAGGTCCTCCATGGGAAGTACATGATGTCCAGGTCTCTTTGTTCTACCTATTTTTTTAAAAAATAATTTATTTGAGAGAGTGGTTCCATCTGCTAGTTCACTTCCCAAATGCCTGCAACAGCTGGGCCTGGGTAAAGGTGAGAGCCAGGAGCTCTGAATACAGTCTGGGTCTTCTGTGTGATTGGAGGGAACACAATCACTTGAGCTGTTGGTGTTGCCTGCCAGGGTCTACACAGTGTTTACATTGGCAGGAAGTTGGAGGCAAGAATTCAGCTCAGGCATGTAGGATGCAGGGTCTTAATTGCTAGGCTGAACATCTGCTCTGTACCTATTAGTTATGTATACAGGCTTCCAGTATTGATGTTAGCCCTTATAGAAGCTTTAGTAACTCAAACCTGATTGGACAACAAATTGAGAAGGGATCCATTTCTCTGAGGAATGCAGATATTAACCCTATTCTTAGATACCAGTGTATGTGTAAAACATACAGATTTATCATTAAAAATTTTTTTTTATTTGAGAGAGATTGGGAGACAGGCAGAATTCCCATTTGCTGATTCACTCTCCAAATGCCCACAACAGCCATGGTTGGGCTAGGTCCAGGCCACGAGCCTGGATCTCAATCTGAGTCTTCCAAAATTGAACAGCAGGGACACAAATAATTGAGCTATCATCTGTTGCCTTCCAGGTTGTGCATTATCAGGAAGCTGGACTAGGGCTAGGACTCAAACTGGACACTCAGATATAGAAAGCAGGTGTCCCAAAGGCTTTTTAACTGCTGCGCCAAATGTTCAGGTGCTACGTTTCCACCAGGATTAGGGTGTTTATTTATGTATTTTTTTTCTAAAAGGACTTAACAATACTGGGCATGTATTTGATTGATACCATTACAGTGAAGGAATAAGTTGATTTTTCCATTTGAATCTTGTAAGAGAAAATTCAAACCTTTCCCTTTTTATCTTGTGCTATGTTTCATTGTTTAAGAATTTAGAAAAGAAGGGTTGTTGTTAACATTGTTGAGCTAAATACTATTTAAATCCATTCCTTATTTGTTCTCTCTTGAGGGTCTTTAAATTAGCATAATAAAAATAATCCCCAAACTTTTCTATTATCTTACCAAATCGATTTACTTACGTATCATTGAGTTGACTAATATTCATATTTATATTTGTTTCCTAGTGCTGTTGTAACAAATTACCATAGACTGAGTGGCTTGAAACATGAAATCTTCCCCTTTTCCTTAGATTTGGGGTCCCTCTAAATTCAAGATGATCTATGAGATTCTTAAGGATTTATTAAAGATCTGAGTACCAGATAAAGTCATCACATTTATCGGTACTGGGTTTAGGAGTTGGACATATTTTTTAGGGAGACATAATTGAACCCAATACAATATTATTATTAGGTAATATTAACAATAAATCAGCCTTTATGGTATATATTGGGTACCTGGTGGTGATTTGTTTAGTCCTCCAAATAAACCTATGATATAGGCACTGTTATTAGTCTCATTTTTGCTGCCTTTTGTTAAACAAGTCTTATCACTAATTTTTGACTTAGTTTTTTTTTCTAAGTCAAAATACTTTTTCAAAGAATCTTTGGCCCAGATAAATGCATGGCAACAGAATCAGTTTATTGTTAGATTATTCAGGGTATTATCAATTCTAAGAGTTGGACCTTCAAATTTATTAGATAAGGGAAAAGACTTCTGGGATTGATCACAAAAGATGAAAAGATAACCCTTTTCATTTTTGTATTTATTATCCTTGAGAAAATATGAGAGTTCATATATATACATTCATATAAAATTTATGAATATATAATATTTCTGTGTATTTTAATATTGCAAACAGTATTACAAAGACATTTCAGAAAGTTTGGAAAACTGGAATTAAAAGATAAGTCTATTTTGCTGCAAGATTCATGCATACTTTTGGCATGGGCATTTTGGAGCAGTGGTTAATACACTGCTTGGAATGTCTGCATCCCATATGAGCAGTGCCTGGGTTGAGGGTTGGTGTTGTGGCATGGTAGGTAGAGCTGCAATGCCAGGATCCCATATGGGTGCCAGTTTGAGTCCTGGCTGCTCCACTCCTGATCCAGCTTCCTTCTGATGTACCTGGGAAAGCAGTGGAGGATGGCCCAAATGGTTGGGCCTCTGTACCCATGCGGGAGACCCAGATGAAGCTCTTGGCTCCTGGCTTCAGCCTGGCCCACCCCTGGCCACCTGGGGAGTGAACCAGTGGATGGAAGATCTCTCTCTCTCTCTCTCTCTCTATCTCTCCCCACCTCTCTCTAACTCTGCCTTTCAAATAAATCCTTTTTTTTTTTTTTTTTTTTTTTTTTGGTTAAAGTGTCTGGGTTTGAGTCCCTGTTATGCTTCTGATCCCAGTTTCCTGCTGATGTGACTCTGGGAAGCATTAGGTGATGACCTAAGTAGTTGGGTCCCTGAAACCCATGTAGGAGACTCTAGGCCAGCCCTGGCTGTTGTAGGCCTTTGGGGAATATACCAGTGGATGGAAGATTTTTCTCCATAACCCCTGCCTTTTAAGTAAATAAAAATGAATTATAAAAAGTTATTTTTAAAATAATATGTATTTTCCGTGAACTTTTGAAGATACCCTCATTGTAAGGTTTTGGACTTTGGCCAGTCTTGGTGGGGGAAATGTTCAAAATGGGGCTTATTTGAGATCCTATATTTTAATCCATTTGCAAACTCACTTTTGGACTTCTATTTTCATGCTAGCAAAAAATTACCAAGTCTAGGATAGTGGGCTGTGTCCTGAATAGGAAAGTGGAACATGTTGTAAAGGAGCTAAAAGAAGATAGAAGTAAAAAGAATACTGGGAGATAGAGGAGGTCTCATTTCAGTGTTACTTGTGTATTTCTATTAGGAGAAAGTATATGTATTTGAGGGAATATGTAGACTAGTGTAGCTGTAAGGTCGTAATACAAAATCAGACCAGAAAGGATTTTTTCAAGCATGGTCATTTTTTTACATGCTTGCATGATATTAAAATCTGTGCCACTATTTTTAACCTCTAAAGAATAATTCTAATTAAAATCAACGTGAAATAGTTTGTTTTAGTAAAGAGGCCTTTAGCAAAAATTCTTCTAAACTGAAATGAACATTCCTCATTTTAAAGTTATTCTTCCAGATTATTTCTGTTGCGTCTGTATCTTCAGACGATTGTGTTTATGAAAAAAATAAATTAGTCTTTGTGCTAATCAAGTAGGAGCTGCAATATGATAACTAGTTATTACAGTGCTGGAAATATCATGGGGTCAAGTGATAGTTCCTGAAAACGTGAAGTAGTTTATCTGTAGCAGTGTGAGTCATTAGTTTACAAGCCCCAAATCAGCATGTATTTACAAAAAAAGATGGGACAACTGATATTTTTATAATTTTAAAATTTGAAATTTTACAGTTAACCTGTAACTTATGTATGATCACTCCCCCTACCCATTTGTAGCTTCATCTGGTCTCTCCTCCTTACTGCTTGTTTACCAGCCATACTGACCTTTTAATGCTTTGAAATGACTACATTCTCCTATAGGACCCTGGGAAATGCTGTTTCTTTGCCTTTAATATCTTCTAGTCTTTTGTTCATCTGGTTCACTCTTTTAGGTTTCAGCATAAATGTTATTTTTCTAGGTACACCTTTCCTAACTCCTTGGATTAAGCAAGTCCTCCCTGTATGTACTTTACTTTTTCATTACAGAATTGTCAGTGTTTTTTTTTTTTTTAAGATTTATTTATTTATTTGAAAGAGTTATACAGAGAGAGGAGAGGCAGAGAGAGAGAGAGAGAGAGAGAGAGAGAGTCTTCCATCTGCTGGTTCACCTCCCCAATTGGCTGCAATGGGCGAAGCTGCGGCGATCTGAAGCCAGGAGCTTTTTCCAGGTCTCTCATGCCGGTGCAGGGGCCCAAGGAATTGGGCCATCTTCTGCTTTCCCAGGCCATAGCAGAGAGCTGGATTGGAGGTGGAGCAACCGAGTCTCAACCGGCGCCCTTATGGGATGCCGGCACTGCTGGCCAGGGCATTAACCCACTGAGCCACAGCGCTGGCCCCAGAATTGTTAATTTTTAAGTAAATAAATCAGGTAGGAAGTGTGTCTGTTTTGTTTGCCCCTGTGTCTCCTAGTAAGTAGTTGGAGCTCAAGAAACATATATCTATATAGTTATTTATTATTATACATTTCATATTAATTACTTCCAATTGAAGATTAGGTGAATATTCCTCAGTTGTGTAGTTAAATGGATTGTGAACTATGGAAATTTAATTTACACTTGCATATAATATAGTATATGTTATACTATATTGTATGTATTATATATATAATATATATTATATAATATATTATATAATATATAACACATAATATTATATATTATAATATATTATATATATTATATAATAATATATTATACATATAATATATAATATATACTATATTATACAATATAGTATAATATAGTATGATATATATTATACAGTATATGATATAGTATATATTCTGTTAAATATTGAAATATATATTGAAAAATATCATACAGGCATGATATTTGCATAATTTGCCTTATGTGGTTAATTTTTTATTCAAGTTAAATGTTAAACTTTTTTTTTTTCCTCAAGAATTTGGCTGAATTGGAAGCGCTATGTACTCATCTCTACATAGGGACTGATCTTACACAAAGAATAGAGGCTGAGAAAGCACTCTTGGAACTTATTGACAGCCCGGAATGTCTCAGCAAGTGTCAACTTCTGTTAGAACAAGGAACAGTAAGTATTTGATAACAGCAGTTAACCATGAAAGATCAGTAGTTGCATGTCAGTGTTAACGAACTCATGCGTGTAGCAGTGATAACTGATAGACGCTCACACTTGTCTTTTTACTGTAGTTTATTTCATTATCAAAGAGATTAATCACGGGAAGAATTGAAAAGCCTGCGAAGCAAACTAAATGAAGAGTGAGGAGGTGGAAGTAAGGGTGAATGGAAATAGTTTCTGATTCCTCTAGCCATTTTTATGTCTCATGTTAATGGGCAAAAATCACAGTTATAGCAAGTTGCCTAACAATTTTATAAAAGATTTGGTGGAAGGAGCAGATTATAATTAATTTTGAAACATAAAAAGATTATTCAGAAGAATGCTGACTAGCTCTTGCCTACCTCCCTTCTAGATACATAGCCATTCATTAGGCAATCATTTAGTAAAGACTTAAATATAAAACTTTTTTTTAAAGATATATTTTATTTATTTGAAAGTCAGAGTTACACAGAGAGAAAAGGAGAGGCAGAGAGAGAGACAGAGAGAGAGGTCTTCCATCCGCTGGCCAGAGCTGAACTGATCCAAAGCCAGGAGCCAGGAGCTTCTTCCTGGTCTCCCATGTGGGTGCAGGGGCCCAAGGGCTTGGGCCATCTTCTACTGCTTTCCCAGGCTATAGCAGAGAGCTGGATCAGAAGTGGAGCAGCCGGGCCTCAAACTGGCACCCATATGGGATGCCGGCACCGCAGGCGGAGGCCTAGCCCACCATGCCACAATGCTGGCCGCAAATGTAAAACTTTGAAGATTTTAAAGGCACTGTACTGTTTACTTGGTTTATGTTCATAAATTAGGTGGCTCATTGTTTAGTTGAAAAGGAACAGCTATATACATAAAGAGCTTTGAAATGATATGGTGAGCACTATGCTAAAATTAGAGCTTAGAAGGCAAATTTTACTGAAAAAGACCAGCTAGTAACTATTTTAGGCTATGTGGGCCAATAGGCAGATATTTTCTTAAGTATATCCATAATAAGAGAAAACAAATTTGCATGATTTTATTGATGAAATTCAGACTACAATGATTGAATAAAAGTTAATTTAACTTTTTTTATAGAGTTTTTTTTTTAAAGATTTATTTATTTATTTGAAAGAGTTACACTGAGAGAGAAGGAGCGGTAGAGAGAGAGAAAGAGATCTTCCATCCACTGGTTCACTCCCCAATTGGCCGCAACGGCCAGAGCTGTGCCGATCTGAAGCCAGGAGCCAGGAGCTTCTTCCGAGTCTCCCATGCGGGTGCAGGGGCCCAAGCACTTGGGCCATCTTGTACTGCTTTCCCAGGCCATAGCAGAGATCTGGATCAGAAGAGGAGCAGCTGGGCCTCAAACTGGCACCCAAATGGGATGCCGGTGCTTCAGGCCAGGGTGTTAACCCACTGTGCCACAGCGCCGGCACCTATAAGAGATCTTCTAATGAAAATAATAGGGCCGGCGCTGCGGCTCACTAGGCTAATCCTCCGCCTAGCGGCGCCGGCACACCGGGTTCTAGTCCCGGTAGGGGCGCCGGATTCTGTCCTGGTTGCCCCTCTTCCAGGCCAGCTCTCTGCTGTGGCCAGGGAGTGCAGTGGAGGATGGCCCAGGTGCTTGGGCCCTGCACCCCATGGGAGACCAGGAAAATCACCTGGCTCCTGGCTCCTGCCATTGGATCAGCGCGGTGCGCCGGCCGCGGCAGCCATTGGAGAGTGAACCAACGGCAAAGGAAGACCTTTCTCTCTGTCTCTCTCTCTCACTGTCCACTCTGCCTGTCAAAACAAAAAAAAAAAAACAAAAAAAAAAAAAAACAAAAAAACTATCCTTTGAGGAATAACATTTTGCTTAATCGGTGTTCATATTGGTATTTCCTATCAACATTGTTTGCAAATGTTCATTTGTTAATGTATAATGGAATTTTACATATATCGTATCTTTTCCCAAAGATAGGTACTATTGAATACTAATATCAGTCCTTGAGCATATGATTTCAATTAAGTGTATTCATTACTTAGAAGGCATTTATAGAATTCTATTAAATCTTCTTTGATATTTGCCTTTTAGCATGTCATTACATTTCAGATTAATTACTTCCAACGAAGATTAGGAGGAGGTTCCTCATTTGTACAGTTAAATGGATTTTGAACTATGGAAACTTCCTTTATACTTGCATCAGGGTCTGAAACTGCTACTGAAACTGTAGTTGGTGCCCAGAGAATATATCTGGGAATTGAGGTCTCACTACTTGTTTTAACTTTTCAGTGTATGAATATATAAAGCAGCTGTACGTTACTTGCAACTCAAACAGTGTTGGTTATCTAAATGACTTTACTGCAGTATGAGTTCTATTTATTAAGTATTGAGAACTGTTTGTCTTTTAGGCAGTTTTGTAATTTTAGGTTGAATTCATCAAGAGACAGTTTTCAGCAAAAGGTTATTTCCAAAGCCATTTAGTGTTGAACATAAAGGTTTGTTCTTCTCATTCAGAAAAATTTAGTATCTGCCCTGAGCAAAAAAAATTGCAGTAAGACATTACAATGATAATCTATTAAACCATTATGTGATAGGCAAGTCAGGATATTCCATTTCTGTGTCTGAAAGAAAGTCACAGACTGAAGATAAGTTCATAAAAGTGAATGAAATCCACTGTTAACACCACTGATTCATTAACTTATTATAGATTAAAATTTTTTACTACAAAATGTCTGCAAATGACTAGCACAATGAATAACCATAGGTTTTATACATCTTACTTTTTTATATAAGCTTTTTAAAAATTGTCTAGGTAAGCTTTTTTCTGCTCCGTATGTTTTTACCACCAATGTAACATCTTAACAGGTTCTACTTCAGTTTAGATTGATGATTCCTCAGCTTCTTTGAAAATTTTCTGTCCTCAAGTTCTTTTTTTTTTCTTTTAAGATTTATTTATTTGAAAGAGTTACACAGAGAGTGAAGGAGAGGCAGAGAGAGAGAGGTCTTCCGTCTGCTGATTCACTCCCCAATTGGCCACAACGGCTGGAGCTGTGCCGATCCAAAGCGAGGAGCCAGGAGCTTCTTCCAGGTGTCCCATGTGGGTCCAGGGGCCTAACCAATTGGGCCATATCTGCTTTCCCAAGGCCTCAAGTTCTACATCAATTCTTCATAGAGGCTAATTCACTTGTCACCTCACACTGACTTCTAGAATAAATAGCAAATAGTGGTAGTATTAACATTATGAGCAAAGTTAGTAACATCTGTCCATTCATTAAGAGCTAAGGAGAACCCTTCCAAATCATCTGTCTTGTTTTATAAATTGCCTTTTAATGTTGCATCAGTGTCCTCAACTCTTTGAAGGCACTTGTTCTTACAAAAGACTAGTAGTCTCTGAAGTTTATTCTCCCTGCACGTGTAACTTGGGCTGCTGGGATAAAGCAGTAGTCATTTAATTAATTCATGACTGGTGAGTTAAACAGATGAGCCACTGAAATTTAGGTTACAACTTAATTTTTGTAAAGAAATTCTACTGTGGGCCGGCGCCATGGCTCACTTGGCTAATCCTCCGCCTGTGGTGCCAGCACCCCGGGTTCTAGTCCCGGTTACGGTGCTGGGTATTACTCCCGGTTGCTCCTCTTCCAGTCCAGCTCTCTGCTGTGGCCAGGGAAGGCAGTGGAGGATGGCCCAAGTGCTTGGGCCCTGCACCTGCATGGGAGACCAGGAGGAAGCACCTGGCTTCGGATTGGTGCAGCGCGCCGGCAGTAGCAGCCATTTGTGGGGTGAACCAACGGAAGGAAGACCTTTCTCTCTGTCTCACTGTCTAACTCTGCCTGTCCAAAAAAAAAAAAAGTCTATTGTGATGAAATGTTCTGTGTATATTTTTCCACTTTTTCTGAATGTTGATTTCTTGTGATTTGAGGTTATTATGGTGAGTGCTTAGTCTTAACATTGTCAACATATGTTGTATTCTTCTGGGACAGCTATGGTACCATTGCATAAAAAGCATGTTGATTTGCCATCTAATTCAGTAACAAAATAATCTACATTCTGCTTACCTTAAAAGGTAGACATTTGAAGTCTACTTTTCTCTCTTTTTGTTTAGATTTAATGGATATGCTCTAGTAGTAATGAAATGTACATGTCATGTCATGGCAATACCCATAGCATTCTAGGTGCTGAGGAGTTAGAACTATTTTCACTGTGTTTATGGTGCTCTGAGCAACAACAGTAGGTAGCAAAGAGTACCATATATGGTTTCTGTTCTGCCATGATAATGTGAAAGCAGCCATAGGCAATATGTAAATGTACAGATGTGGCTGTTTTAATAAACTTTATTTGTGGACACTGAAATTTGAATTTCATGATTTCCACATGTCACAAAATATTGTTTTTTTCTCCAGTTGTTTAAAATTGTAAAAACCATTCTTAGCTCAGAGGCTGTGCTAAAACAGACAGGATGTGGTCCATGGACCATAGTTTACCAACCTCTGGGTCTAGGGAAAAAAAAAAAAAAAAGAGAGGACATTTTCAAAAAATTCCTAAGGGTTAATAACTGAACTGAACTTTAAAGGATGAACATCTATTTAGAGGGCTTGGATATACTATTAAGCCAGTTGATGACCAGAGAGAGTAGTCAGATGCGGGTATGAAGGAACATAGGGGTGAGGATGGGGAAGGATTGAAAAGAACTGAAAGGCTGTCATGATTGGAGCACTGTGAAGAGTGAAGCAAATGATTATGAAGGGATAATCAGAGACCAGATGGATATGCATTGATTAGAATAGTAACAGAAATGTGTAGATTGTGGAATGAGTGTTTTATTTTAACTTGCTCATAATCATTTATTTCTCCTGATTGCATGCTGTTGTCTGAGATAACTACCTATTACCTGCCTCAATTAACAATCCCTTAGGAGTGATTGTTTATGTATGTCTACCTGTATGTATCATAAACAAATATATTTTATCAATTGTACATCTACCAGTTGAGAAAACCAGAAAAATTCTCATTAGTGCTTAGAAAAAAGTTCCAATCATAAAATTTGTATTAATTTCATTTGTGATAATAATAAATAAAAATTATTCTTTACAGACATCCTATGCTCAGCTCCTTGCAGCAACATGTCTTTCAAAGCTTGTCAGCCGAGTCAATCCTTTACCTGTTGAACAGAGGATAGATATCAGTAAGTGGTTTATTATGCTTTTTTTGAAAAAACAAATTGTACTTTAAAAATAATTTGTCCATTTTAAGTGTGCTAAACTGTTGTCAGACTTGGAAATTTTTGACTATGTCTTTTTTTTAAAGATGAGTGTCTAAGTTTCATTTACTTAATACAAAACAATATATAATCAAAAAGTTTTTCTTAGTTTAATAAACAATAATAGCTAGCAGTTTTATCATATATGCTATTTGCTAATATTTGTACTCTCATTTTATCCACTAAACAAAATTATGAGTTATCTTCTTTTTTAAAGATTTATTTATTTATTTGAAAGTCAGAGTTACACACAGAGAGAAGGAGAGCAGAGAGAGAGAGAGAGAGAGAGAGAGGTCTTCTATCCGCTGGTTCACTCCCCAGTTGGCTGCAATGGCCAGAGCTGCACCAATCTGAAGCCAGGAGCCAGGAGCTTCCTCCAGGTCTCCCATGTGGATGCAGGGGCCCAAGGACTTGGGCCACCTTGTACTGCTTTCCCAGGCCGTAGCAGAGAGCTGGATCGAAAGTGGAGCAGCCAGGTATCAAACTGGCACCCATATAGGATGCTGGTGCTTCAGGCCAGGGCTTTAACCTGCTGCATCACAGCGCCAGCCCCTATGAGTTATCTTAATTTTACAAATGAGGAAATTATATTTGATAGGCTCTGTCATGTACTGAAGATCACACAGCTAGGAAATAAAAGAACTATAATTCAAGCCTATTGAATCTGTGTGGGATGTATGCTCGTAGCCATTGTCTAACGTGGCATGCAACTGAATGACAGGAAAAAAGTCAACTTTCCAAAATATCTTGGATGCAGTGTTGAAATCATTTGGGATGGATGTAAAAAATCCAAAAGAGGTTTCCTATTTATCAGGGAGATGATTTGTATATTGATAGATAGTGCTTGGTACTTAGTGCAAGTGGGGAATTGATTCTATAAAGAAGCAGTATACTTTTCAGAAGCAGTAATTTTAAGGTTTTTTGGATGGATGTGTATATAAGTGCATTTCTTATGGACAAAGCTCTATTAAGTTGTGGGACTTTTTTTTTTGTCTTTGTTCATATTAGAAATAGATTGCTGATTCAAATAGATTTGCTCTTCAGCCTCAATGGTAATGTGGTTTATATTTCTGTATCAGAAAATTAAAATGCATTATGTATGATTAATGTTTAAGTTCAAATTTGAATGGTCAAAATCACATAAGGATATGACATTTGCTCATATATTTGACTGGTATTTCCTTAAGCACTCTGAGTCTTAGGCACTATACAAAATCTGGAGAAGGATTTATCCATGCCCTTATATGTGTGTTTTAGAAAGCGGCAGAGAGAGAGAGAGAAGTGTATAGTTTTAGAAATAAAGATTTATGGCCGGCGCCGTGGTGGCCATTGAGGGGTGAACCAATGGAAAAGGAAGACCTTTCTCTCTGCCTCTCTCACTGTCCACTCCTGCTCGTGTCAATTCATGATTCTCAAAAAAAAAAAGAGAAGAGAGAGAATAAGATTTAAACAGTGTGGTTGGTGCCGCGGCTCACTAGGCTAATTCTCCGCCTGTGGTGCTGGCACCCCAGGTTCTAGTCCCGGTTGGGGCGCCGGATTCTCTCCTGGTTTCTCCTCTTCCAGTCCAGCTCTCTGCTGTGGCCCGGGAGTGCAGTGGAGGATGGCCCAGGTGCTTGGGCCCTGCACCTGCATGGGAGACCAGGAGGAAGCACCTGGCTCCTGGCTTCGGATCGTCGCAGTGCGATCCAATGGAACCAACGGAAGGAAGACCTTTCTCTCTCTCTCTCTCTAACTCTGCCTGTCAAAAAAAAAAAAAAAAAGATTTAAACAATAGAAACCTACATACAACTTATGATTTTTCTTATTTGACTTTTCGCACATGCATTTTAAACAGATGATTTTTTTTTTAGCACACTTTTGTATTTACAGCAAAATTAGGAAAGAAAGTACATAAAGTCCCCATATACCTCTTCCCTCACACTTCTCCACTATCAGCATCCTGCTCAAGAGTGGTGCACTGATGCATGATTATCTCCTGTGGATTTTGAGAAATGTATAATGACATATATTTATGATTGTAGAGTTGTACAAAATACTTTACCTCCTTAAAAATCCTCTGTGTTTTGGCTGTTCATCCATCCTTTCCTGGAATCCCTGGTCTTTTTATCGAGTCAAGAGTGTCACATAGTTGAAATCATGAAGTTTGTAGGATTTTTGACTTGTCTTGTTTGACTTAGTGATAGGCATTCAAGGTACCTCCACTTTTTTTGTGGTTTAATACCTCATTTCTTTTTGGTGCTGAATGATATTTCATTGTTTGGATGTATTGCAGTCTATCCATTCACCTCCTGAAGGATATTTTGGTTGCTTCTAAGTTTTGACAATTGTGAATAAAGCTGTTAAAAACATTTATATATATATATATATATATATATATATATATATACAGCTTTATTTTATATATATATATATAAAAGTTTTTTGTGTGGACATGGTCTCAACTCCTTTGAGCATGATTATTGGATAAAACAGTGAGTATTCATTTTTGTAGGAAACCACCTATTTTCTGAAGTGGCTGTATCATTTTGTATTTCCACCAACAGTGAATGATAGTTCTTGTTGGTCTACATCTTTGCCAACATTTGTTGTTGTCAGTGTTTAGATCTTTGATTTCTGTTATTAAAGTTTAATAATTATTCTCACATAGGTCTTATACTTACTTTGTTATTTTTATACCAGTGTATTTCATTTTCTGGGGTTGCTAATGTAAACAATATTGTGTTTTTTTATTTTAAGTTTTACTTTTTTTTGCTGGTATAGGAAAATGATTGACTTCTGTATATTAACATTGTATCCTATAACCTTGCTGTAGTCATTTATTAGTTTAGGATTTTTTTGTGTGTACATTCTTTTTGGATTTTCTATAAAGATAGTCATGTCACTTGTGGGCAAAGTGACATTCGTAGTCTGTATACCTTTTATTTCCTGTTCTTGTCCTATTGCATTAGTTAGGAATTCTACTATGACGTTGGAAAGCAGTGATGGCAGGGAATATCTTACTTTTTTCTTTATCTTACGGGAAAAGCTTCCACACTATTAAATATGATGTTAGTTGTAGGTTTTTCTATAAATATTTTTTATCGAGTTGAAAAAATTTTTCTCTGTTCCTAGTTTTCTGAGTTTTTTTTAAAAACCATGAGTGGATGCTGCATTTTGTAAATTCTTTTTCAACATCTGTTGATAACATCATGTGATCTTTCTTCTTTAGTGTCTTCATTTGATGGATTATGTTAATTTTTGAATATTGAGCCAGCCTTGCACACCTGGGATAAATCTTACTTTGCTGTAATGCCTATTTCCTTTATACTTTGTTATATTAATTTGGTGCTATTTTATTGAGGATTTTTGCATCCATGTACATGAGAGATATTAGTCTGTAGTTTTCATGTAATATCTTTGATTTGGGTATTAGGTAATGCTAGCTTTGTAGAATCATTTAGGAAGAATTTCCTCCATTTCTATCTTTTGGAAGGTATTATAGAGAATCAGAATAATTTCTTCCTTAAATGTTTGGTAAACTTCAAAAGTGAACCATCGGGGCCTGTTACTTTCTGGTTTGGAAGATTATTGATTCAATTTTTATTTTTATTTATTTATTTATTTATTTATTTATTTATTTTGACAGGCAGAGTGGACAGTGAGAGAGAGAGACAGAGAGAAAGGTCTTCTTTTGCCGTTGGTTCACCCTCCAATGGCCGCCGTGGCCAGCGCACTGCGGCCAGCGCACCACGCTGATCCAATGGCAGGAGCCATGTACTTCTCCTGGTCTCCCATGGGGTGCAGGGCCCAAGGACTTGGGCCATCCTCCACTGCACTCCCTGGCCACAGCAGAGAGCGGGCCTGGAAGAGGGGCAACCGGGACTGAATCCGGCGCCCCAACTGGGACAAGAACCTGGTGTGCCGGTGCCACAAGGTGGAGGATTAGCCTAGTGAGCCGCGGCGCTGGCCTTGATTCAATTTTAATAGGTATATTCAGATTGTTTGACTCATATAACTTAAATGGAAGCCTTGTTTAAAAACAAGCCCCCAACTTAGGATGGTCTGATTGCCAATTTTTTTTTGACTATGCAGTGGTGAGAAATTCAGGTGCATTCTGTAGAAACCATACTTTGAGTTTTCCTGAGCTAGTGATTTGCAGTACAACATTCTCTTGAGATCCTGGACAACAAAAGATGGTCCCAGCTCCCAGTGAGTCCTGAGTCCCATAATCACAAGGGTCAACAAGTGACGTCCTACATACGATGTCCTATGTTGCCAAGCTATGACATTTAGCAGGTTGTATATATTAATTGTATTTTCAGGCTACAATATTTTTAGCTTTTGATGAGTTTATCAGGGTATAATCACATTGTAAGTCAATTATTATATGTACTCATAAACTTTTTTTTAAAAAATAATAATGCATCATTAAGGGAAATTTTGGGGAAAAAAAGAAGAAAGTAGAAATTTACAAGACTATTTGAAGAAAATGGTGATTGGTTTCCTATGTTAGTTTCTTTAGCTGGACTTAACCACTCTTGTTTCTGCAAATAGATTAGAATATTTGTCATGACCTGGTGTATCTTACTGGGATTTGCCAGTAGAAAGATTGACGTGAGTTAGAATGGACAATGCAAAGAATGGCCTTAACAGTCAGGTTGTCCTTATTACATCAAATACAAAATCCTCCATCCTTTATCATATGATCTTAGTCTATATATCTTATTATTTCCCACAGTTCCTCTGTGTTCACCACACCATTTTTTTTAACCTTTTTTAGTATAATTGACAATGGCTTACCATTGCTCATCAGTGAAATATCATTTTCTTAGCCTAGTACTGTAGTTTCTTTATAAGCTTACCTTTGAAGGACCATCCTTGTTTAGGGACCTTTATGTCTTCATTGGTACTAACCTGTTAGTTTTCCCATGAAATCTTCCCCCTCATGCCATCTTACTCCTGACTTGGTACCTTTTCTTATGTTTTTTTTTTTTCCCCCTTAGGCTGGAGTGCTATTCATTTTATCTTCTGTTCAAATGAAAGTGTAGTTTCAGTTTAGTTACTTATATAATCCTTTCTTCATCTCTCCTTTCTTCCCTTCTTTCAAACAAAATTATTGACATAAAATTTGTATGCTATAATATTGTTTTAAGTGTACAGTTACCTTTAGTAAATTTACTGGAATTGCTGCATTATAAGTTTATGGTTAACTAGAAACTGCCAAATTGTTTTCCAAAGTGCCTGCATCATTTTGTATTCTCACCAAAAATGCATTTAAGTTCAAATTTCTACCCCCTCCTTTAATTCTCTCCCTTTCTCCATCTTTCTTCTTTTTCTCAAATAGATCATTAAGCTAGCTCTCTTGGCATAGATTGTAGCTCATATTTTTAAGTGTTCTTGGAATTTGGAGTTGTTTCCATCAAAACATTTTTGAGGTAATTACTTTCTCTTTAGTCTTTTCACAGATGACCTGCTAGCTAGCAAATTTTGGGGCCAAAGTAGAAATGCAATCTTTCCCCTTTCTTTTATTTCTTTTTATATTTTTTATATATTTTATATATTTATATATATATATTTATATATTTTATTATATTTTATTTCTTTTTATATTTTTATATACTTTGTGCCATATTTATTACTTGATCCCAGATAAATATGTACTTCATATTAATTTCTCATAATGAGCTGATTTCTAAATATTGGTCCAGTGATTGACAACTCCAAAAATCATCTACAAGTTTGGACTTAGAGTTTTGAATTGCTAATTCAATTTAATAATACTATTAAAATGTGTGGCTTGGCTAGTATCTGGAAGCAATAAACAAATACAAAATCAAACCAAACCAAAACAAACTGACTTTGAGTCTAGTCACTTCAGCTCTTTGACCTTAATATTTTTGGTGTATAAACCTATGATGGTAATAAACAATGGCAGTATGTTCACATTGCTATGAGAGTCACATGAAAGTTGTTTGATGGGAAGTGCTTCGTAATTTTTAACACCCTAAATGCTAAATATTGTTATTGTCGTGTAGCCATTTGACACTCAAAGAGCCTCTGGGACATAGCTTTCTGTTAACAACAGTGTGGGATTTTTCCATATTCTTTTGTATTCTTCTCCCATATGTCTCCCGTGTGACACATATTCTTCTCCCATGTGTATTCTTGAACAATTCCTTTTCTTCTTGGTATGGCTTTTCCTAATTATTTGGACCGTTAATAATGAGATTGTATTGTTTCACTTATTATCATTGGTATTTACTAAACTGAAACGGAATGACATTGTTCTTATACTCAAATTATCCACTGTTGTATCACATGTGGTGGAACAAATTCAAAGCAAGGCATGTTAAAGAACTGACTATATCAATAAACACATATCTTGAAGAAAGGGTTTACCTTTTTGTTAAAGGGCACATTATTACCTCCTCTTTTTCTTTGCATGATTTACATTATATCTGAAAAATCCAGATGATCACAGAATTTTTCTTTATAGGAAACTACATTCTGAATTATGTGGCATCACAACCCAAGCTGGCTGCCTTTGTCATACAAGCTCTTATTCAAGTCATTGCTAAAATCACTAAGTTGGGGTGGTTTGAGATTCAGAAAGACCAGTTTGTCTTCAGAGAAATTATTGCTGATGTGAAAAAATTTCTTCAGGTAAGAAGGCATTGTTAAAGCATCACTACTTGCTTTTATTAGTTTAGAGGCTGTATGACTTGTAGCTACCAATGCCATATTAATTATGATTTATTATTTATCCTCTGGGCTCTATGTTGCTTACTGTTAGTAAATGAAGACCATGTTGTTATATAACTTCCAAACCAAGAATGCAGATAATAATCTTTTCTAATTTCAGAAATATGTTCTTTCATTTATAACATATATGAGGGATCTTCAAAAATAAACTTAGCACTTAATTTCTTTTTCATGAACTTTTGGAGTACCTTCATACATCTATGTATTGTGTATATACAAAGCACGTGTATAATGCTTTTCATATATTGTCTAATACTCTTTAAATCTCTATGAAATGATTTTATTTTGAGAAAACTGAGGCTTAGAAATGTTAAATAATTTATGAAAGATCACTCAGGGACCTAATAATGCATAGAACTAGCACTTCAACAAATCTTTTGACACTAATTACTTTCATTTTTATATTACACCATATTGATTCTACCAGTTTCTCAAGAATGTTTTTAACTTAAGTGATTAAAGTCATAACACATGCACATACAATATTTAACTTATACAGACTCAGATATTTGGACGGTAAAATTGGGAAGATCCTTAAGTTGTACCAGGGAGTCCACTTGTCATCCACACAGTGATGACAGTCCTAGGGTGATTTAGGGAAAACTGAGCTTGTTCCTGGTTTCTGTATGCCTCTTCCTTATGACTATTATACCCTGCCCAGTTAATTTACTTGGAAGTCATGGAGACAGAGAAAGAACTCCCATTGCTGATTCACTCCCCAAATACCTGCAACAGCCAGGGTTGGGCCAGACCTAACTTGGGAGCTAGGAACTCAGTATAGGTCTCCCACATGGGTGGCAGGAACCCAAACATTTCAGCCATCACCTGCTGTCTCTCAGGGTGTGGGTTAGCAGAAAGCTGGAGTTAGTAGTAGAGCTGAGACTCAGATGCAAATGTCCTGATAGGGGATGTGGCCATTCCAAGTAGCCACTGTGCCAAATGCCTGCCCTGATTCAGATATTTGAAGATGCAAATTGTTTTCTTAAAAATGTAATGCTTAATGTCAGGAAAATCGTGTAGCTTGTTCTAGCTGAGGAAGCAGTGATCTATTACAGTTCTTCAGGAATAATTGGCAATTTTGATGAATACTTTATTTCTTATGCAGTAACTTTAAAATTAAATCTTGTTTAAGATGTGACTTTATCATATAGCATAATGCTGGAAGCTCAAAATATGAAATGTTAGATTATCCTGCTTCCCTTTTATTCATGTTGTTAAAGCCCTGGCAAACAAATAGTTGATCATCTAAAGCTGGGGTGGGGAACATCCTGCCTGCGGGCCATATAAGGCCTGGGAAATCATTTGGCCTGGAACTACCTAGGCAACCACAGGCAGGACTTGGAATTCAGTAAATTTATAGCAAGCTAATTGTTTTAATGATTTATTTATTATTTATTTAAAAGGCAGAGTTACAGAGGGAGAGAGAGAGGAAGAGAGAGAGGTTCCCCAGAAGTATCTTCTGCTTCTTTCCCAGGCGCATTAGCAGGGAGCTGAATCAGAAGTGAAGCAACTAGGACTCAAACCAGCGCCCGTATGGGATGATGGTGTTGCAGACAGCAGCTTAACCACTGTACCACAATGCTAGCCCCTGATTTTTTTTTTTTAAAGATTTATTTATTTGAGAGGAAGAGTTACAGATAGAGATGGGGAGAGACAGAGAGGTCTTTTATCCTCTGGTTCACTCCCCTAATGTCTGTAACGGCCAGAGCTGGACAGATCAGAAGCCAAGAGCCAGGAACTTCTTCCAAGTCTCCCAAGTTGGTTGCAGGGGCCCAAGCACTTGGGCCATCCTCCACTGCTTTCCCAGGCACATTAGCAGGGAGCTTGATTAGAAGTGGAGCAGCTGGAACTTGAACCAGCAACCTTATGGGATGCCGGCCCTGCAGGTGGAGGCTCAACCTACTAGGCCACAGTGCTGCCCCCAAGCCCCAAATTTTTAAGTTGATCATTTTATATGACCTGCAAATGATGTTATAAATATCCAGGTGGACCTTGACAGAACAAGGATTCCCCACTTTGACCTAAACCTTTTAGTTTTTAGATCAGGTTACACTGGGGCAGAAGGATGGTTTAGTGATATGTGAGCTTCTCACTTTGTAATTTTAGCGAATGCAATAGTACCTTCCCTCTTGTCATTTACTAAGATAGTTCATCCAGAATCATTAGACAGGAATAGATTTCACAGTTATTTTTAGAATACAATCAAGATCGAAAACTGAATGAATTGAAATCATTCTTGTAGGCTAAGTTTCTCAAGTTTTCACTTTAGTAGCTGATAGGCTTAGCTTAAGCTGGGGCTTTAGCACACTTTTCTGAATTTTAGACCAGAAGAAATAAAAAATGTTTGTCTTAAAAGTTATTATAGTATAATCATGGAATATTTAACACTTGTTTCCTGGGTATATGAATTCACTTAATCTTGAGTCATAAGAAAGGCAATTGATTTTAGTATTTTTTAGTTCTCCAAAATAGTACCTCATGGTTCCTTTGAGTACCAGCAACTTTTGTGAATTTTTTTATTAAAAATTGTTTTAAGTCTTAAAATCTTTAATGATCTGAGCTTCTTTTTTTAAAGATGTCTTATTTTATTTTATTTGAGAGGTAGAGTTACAGTGAGAGGGAGAGACAGAGAGAGGTCTTCCTTCTGTTGGTTCACTCCCCAAATGGCTGCAACAGTTGGAGCTGCGCTGATCCGAAGCCAGGAGTTTCTTTTCTGTCTCCTATGTGGGTGCAGGGGCCCAAGGACTTGGGCCACCTTCTACTGCTTTCCCAGACCATAGCAGAGAGCTGGATCGGAAGTGGAGCAGCTGGGATTAGAACCAGTGCCCATATAGGATGCTGGCACCGCAGGTGGATGATTAACCTACTGCACCACGCTGCTGCCCCGATCTGAGCTTCTGTTCATTCCCTTTTCTCTGTTATTGTGGCCCTATTGCTGCCATACCTCAAACATATGATGTCTCCTTTACACATACATACTCAGTGGTACTACTGTCCTCTAGAGCAGTGCTAATTCAAATTGGTGGTCTGCAAGAAGATAAGATGCTTACGCTATACTGTAAGTGAATATAGAGCTGCCTTCATCAAGGAAGACTTGCTGTTAAAAAAATGCCATCTGAACTAAACAATGTACTTAGTGACTCAGTTGTCTTATATTTATTTTGTCATGGGCTTATACCTAACCACTTTCAGATGAAAATCAAGTCTGTAGATGGGCAGTGGATTCATGTGTGAGCTGTTTGCTAGAGAGCCACACTTTGAGGAGTGTTGATATAGTGTACATAGAGTGAGTAGGGAGTTTGGAGCTTACTTCCAACACCCATATGAAAGGCCATATAGAATTAAAATGCAAAAATCCTGAGATGTTTCTTCAGTTAATTTTTTTCTGATATAATTCAAACTTAATTATACCTAGTGACCAGTAGTATTAGAGTTACGTGATAGAAGGGATTAACAGCTATAAAATGAAGACTTGAAAAATATCATCCCTTGATTTTTTTTTATTGCACTGTAATTGATGTCATTTATTATTTTCATACATCAGTGTGATTTTGCAGTGGCGTACTTTGTTAGTATTGTGCCTATAAAGTCTGAATTGTGGTTGATAGGAAGGAAGTTTTGAGATTAACTTGGAAATAGGTTAAATAAAGAACATCATAGGTGCTGTGAAACTGTATATCATATTGATAGACATTTATTTAGCCCCACTACATTGGGCATTTTAGATGCCTTCATTTTAGGTACATGACAAATGCATATACATGCACTATTAAACAGTATTAAAAAGGTGTAAATGATCTTACTTGATATTAGATCAAGGGATTTGAATTAGTTCTTCAGCTATTTATTAGTTAGTTATTAAGTACAGCTATCTCAGTAAACTTTAAGCAGATTTATAGGGCTACAAAGGCCTTTTTTGCTCATTTTTACTCAAGATATTATGAAAAGTATTAAACATACATTTATATTTTGAAGCTTAGTATATTATATGTCCTGGGAGGCTGGAAACATTTCATGGAATATTGTGCGCTCTAAGGTAGGTGAACTCCCCTACCCAAATCAGTATACCCAGATTTAGCCTTCAAAAGCAGAACTTGAAGCATTTTCATTTGTAGAATTCATAGTAGTTTTTCTGCATATTTTAAAATATATGTTATGAAGTAAATGTGTTTTTTTTGGTATTGAATTATTTTTTTAAAACTATTATCTGGCTTATATTAAGAACCAATCACATGTCTCCACTTAGGCTAAACTTGGTTATTTTCTCCAAAGGGTACTGTGGAACACTGCATAATAGGAGTAATAATCCTTTCTGAATTGACTCAGGAAATGAACCTGGTAAGCCTTTCCATCTACTGGGACATGAAGTTTGTTTAAGTAATGCTGTTTCTTTGCTGCTTTTTATTGTGGCGAAATGTGGAATCTTCTTTGTGTGACATAAGTTTTTTTGTGTGTGTGTTTTAGTGGTAGAGTAATTAAGTAGTGGAATCCTTTTATTGTTATTGGAAATATCAGCAGTAGTAGAAAGTACTACAAAGAACAGGGAATTAGACATGGTCTTTGCATCATGGGCACTTGAAGAATTGTCCTTTTATTTTCTGTATATGTAATACTAACCACATGAAATAAATTATACACAAAAGAGAAACAAGCATTTATTCTCTTACAAATAAAGATAAGTGATTTGGTGGGTTGATTCCCAACAATACTCAGAAGGACTCACCAAAAAGCAGGCATCTTGGCACTATGCCAAGAGAACATCATCACCTGTTCCTGTTCACTTTTGTACTTAATATGCTTCTAAACAGAACAAAAGCAGAATTTATTTATTTGAGAAACAGAGAGACAGAGAAAATTGGTTCACTCCACTGTTTCACATCTGCTCGTTCACTCCCCAAGTGCCTACAACATTTAAGAGTGACTGGTTCTATGTCAAGAGCCAGAACTTCAGTCCAGGTTTCCCACATGGGTGGCAGGAACAGTTACTTGAGTCATCATTGTTGCTTCCCAGGGTGTACATTAGCAGGGAGCTGGAGACAGGAATTGAACCCAGGTACTGTGATATGGGACATGGTCATCTTGAAGAGGTCTGAAATATTATGCTTAATACTTGCCCCTGAAGTAATTTTATAACAAAGGGGAATACAGCGTCGTCATCTTGAATGGTTTGTGTGGATGCATACACATGTGTGTGTATGCAGGGAGAGCTTACACACCTAAGTACCAGTCGCCAGCTACCCTTGAAGTAACTATATAGCCATGCGCATTTAAAAAATAAATCCAAAATAACTATTTCTACTTGAATTCAATTAGGAATTAGAGAAATGCTTCTATGTTTATAGGAAGGAATTCTAAGATTTCAAGTGATCCTTGAATTTATTATAACTATCACTGACCTAATTTCTGTGCCCCAGAGTATATGATGATTTTTCTCCTAAACATATTTCTATGTGTATGTATCTTCCTAACTCCAGGACCAGTAGTAATACTGTATTGGCAGGATGTTATGACTGGGACCTTGGTGAATCATATTAAACTTTGTAAATCTGTCTAACGATCTGTAACTTTTTAAACTTTATTAAAAAGCAATTTTAGTATGAAAGTTTTACCTTGTAAAAGTGAAGAGCATATTAACTCTATATGCTTGTTCTCTAACCTTTCTGACTTTTTGCTAATCTTAAAATTGGCAGTTTGATTTATTTCATGCTTTACAATATTGTAGGGTGTAGGCTGTCCTGGAAGTCTGAGTTTGCTGTGTTAGATTGTACTGAAGTAGGACTGGATAATGACAAGTTCTAACAAAAGTAGAGTTCATAGAGTAACCAGATATCTTCTTATCAATAAAGAAACTTATTAAAATTAAAAGTATAAAGAAATTTTTTCTCAAATATTTAATACTAAGTTGCCTACATGCCATCCTACCACCAGGCAATACTTTAGTCCATTTCCTACATTTAAGGACATTCTTTTACATGAGCCAGTACTACCATTAGAATAAAAAAAGTTAGCACTGATATTACTACTGCCCAATCCTAAGCCCTTTTCGAATTTCACTAGTTGTCCCCAGTATGTCCTTTAGAGCTAAAGGAACAAGTTTAAAATTGTGTACCACATTTAGTTCTCATGTTTAGATTCCTCAATCTTTCTTTCACTTTCATGACCTTGACACTTGTAAAGATTAAAGGCCAGATGTTTTATAAAATGTCCCTCATTTGGGATTGTCTGATGTCTCTTTAGTATTAGATTCATATTGTGTACATTTATCAGGATGTCACAGATGTGAAACTGTAGCCTTTTTACTGTCTCCTGTCAGGAAGCATGCGATTTGATTTGTCACATTACTGATAATGTTCATTTGGGTTGCTTAATTAAGATGGTCTCTTCCATTTGCTGGTTCACTCCCCAAATGGCCCCAATGGCCAGGGCTGGGCCAGGTTGAAACCAGGAACCAGGAGCTTCATCCAGGTTCTCCCACATGGGCTCAAGCACTTGGGCCATCATCCACTGCTTTCCCAGGCATGTTAGCAGGGAGGTGGATTGGAAGTGGAGCAGCTAGGAAACGAACCAGTGTTCATATGGGATGCCAGCTCTGCAGGCGGTGGCTTTACCTTCTGTGTCACAACACTGGCCCCTTCTCACATGTTTAAAAAAGAATAAGTACCTCACAGGCTAATTTTAAGGAAGGAGTGAAAAAATGCATGAAGAAAACTTTATAAATTGTAGTTGTAATGCTGTGTGTTGCTTTGTACTCAAAAAATTGTTTTATATATTGAGGAAAGTATTGTGGTCAAGAGAGATATTAATGTTTGATTTAAATTAAAGAGGAACACTGGAAATGCTGATTCAAATCTTAAATATGGGGTACAGTTTCCAATAACTATTGTCTGTGATCACTTTTGACTTCTGTTGTGTTTCGTGTTTTATGGGTAAATGTAACATTTAATTATAGTATAAATTATATGTTGGAGCTTAGAAGATATCAGATAGTTTTGAATTGATTTTTTTTCAAATCTGCACATTAGCAAGGAAAATGGTTTCTTTTCTTCCTCTAGGTAGCAGAAGTAATAGTAGTAATGCTATAGCAACGTAGACCTTAATGTTAATGATTATTTGAGTATTAGACCTCAACTTTAGTTGTCTCCTATTGATATGTGGAAATATTAATGGTATTAATAGTTTTGAATGTACTGTATTTTAGGTTACAGACTTAAGAACTGATCTTAATAAATTTATTCATAAAATTATTTATCATTAGCAAATGAAATACTCAGAGGCAATGTATTATTGCTTACATATTAAGTCAGATTTCTGATTATTTATAATTTATGCTTTGGTTTCTTTTCAGAATACCAATGACAAAGCAATCAGAATCCAATAACATGAACCAATGATGTATATGGTATATATAAAATACTTTCATATAGAGAAATTTTTCTCTAATTCAGTTTTATGATTCACAGAAAGTTGGAATTTGAAAGTTGTCTTAGATTTCTCATTTTACAGGTGGCATTTGAGGAACGGGGGAGCTGTTACTTGCACTGTATGAAATATGGCACATGGTTTGGCAGTCTTAGTGTCTATTATTTTGTAAGCTTTATTGTTTATACTGCCTCTGAAAGTGTGATCAGCTCTGCCTTTTAACTTGGAATCCATATTGTTTGCCTGGAGAACATTAAATTCAAATACTCTGGGAACTTGGATCCTTACCTGTCAATAACCTCAAGTCACTTATTCTGTGGACTTTAATTAAAGTTCTCTTACTGGTGAACTTTATGATTATTTAATCATTATTTTCATTCTTTGTCTTACTTGGAAAAGTTTTGCCATGCTTTTTGGTAGGTCTGATTAAACTAATTCATCTTGGTCTTTTTAGGTTGATTATTCTAGACCTTCAGCAAAACACAGGAAAATAGCAACCTCATTTCGTGACACTTCTCTCAAAGACATTTTAGTTCTAGCATGCTCTCTTCTGAAAGAGGTAAGTTATCTAATAATACAGTTTTTTTACTTAGAGTATTCAGAAATTTTAAGAGTTTCAAAAGAATTTCAAATGGATTTTCTCCCCAATTTTGCTTTTAGAAAAATTATTATAAAAGTGTCAATTTTACTTACGTGGTAAATAAGGTAAAATCCCAAACTAATTTAGTAACTTGTGTTTATGTGATAGTTTCATTGCCATCCTACCATATATTCTTAACTGCAAAAGCTAATTAAGTCTTTTTCTGTCTACCTGCCCATATTTAAGTAGGGTGTAGCTGAAAAATGAAATGACTATAAGCTTACCTAATTTATCAACTATCAACATTTATCTATTGTAGAGTCAAGATAGTTGAATTTAATAATTTCTTTGGGAAATAATATTTCCCCATTTATACTTAGTGGCTGGCCTTTTGAACATGAGTGATGGCATGACTCATAATTGTATTGTGTGCCCTTATAGAATATAGGGATTCCATCATGTTTCTTAAGGTTGTGAATTGGCATTATACAGCATTTCCCAAAGTTTGTTTCACTAGCATTAGTTTCCATTAATTTTTATTCTGTAAGACAGATTGAGTATCCCTTAACTGAAATGCTTGGAACCTGAAGTGTTTCAGATTTTGGAATTTTTACATAGACTTTATCAGCTGAGCATCCCTAATCCAAAAATCTAAAGTCTGGATCTTTATGAACCTCATAGCAGTACTCAAAAAGTTTCAGATTTTAGGGTATTTTCTGTGGATTTTTTTTTATTAGAGATGCTCAAACTGCCACACTAAGTCAAACCAAAAGACCTTCTGTTACCCTTAAAATTTCCTCCTAGTTTGGAAAATTTTGACTTATGTAAAACTACCTAGATTAATATCTGGAGCCCATCAGCCACTTAAACAAAAACAGCTCATGGCCAGTTTTATTTCACCTCTATTCACCTCTGCTGACTTGACTTCTTTTTGTATTATTCCTAATGCAGAATCTCAAACTTATTATTTTCTCTACAGATATTTCACAGTGTATATTTAAATGTATAATCTCTTTTGATTGTTTCAAAATGATATTATTTTGATGGTCAGGTTCTTCTCCAGAAGCTTGTGAGTGTCTTTTCACATTCAAATAATTCTGGAAGCCTTTGTTAGATGAATATGACTATTTCACGCATGATGTTAACCCAGTTTTTCTTGAAGCATATTAAATTTTAAGCTTGTTCCAAGCAACCTTTGAATTAATGAATCCCATACATTTATACAGTTGTGCTATATGTTGTCATAATATTACCTCTTATGGTTTTAGATGGTGATGTACGGAAGACAGTTAAGTGAAAGTTTTTACCCCAACTTTACAAAGTGAAATTTGAAAATAGTCAATTGTAGAAATTTATGGATAGTGATTTTACCTTTTTCCCCTAATTGGAATATGGAATAATATAATGTTTAAACTTTTTATTAATTTTTATTTGACATTGAAGTAATTTTTTTTAGATTTGTGAAAAATTTGTTGATATGGGACTAAGCGTTTAGTCTATGGCTGAGATGCCCAAGTCCTGCATGGGAGTACTTGGGTTTGATTCCTGGCTCCAGCTCCTAATTCCATCTTACTGCCAATTGCAGACCCTGAAAGGCAGTGGGGATGGCTTAAGTGATTGGGTTCACTCACTCAACTGGAGACTTGGATTGAGTTCCTAGCTTTGGTCTAAGCCCAGCTCCAGCCGTTGCAGGCATTTGGGGATTAATCTCTAGTTGGGAGGTTTTTTCTCTCTCTTTGTCTTCTTTGCTTCTCAAATAAATAAATAAATAATTGATGTGTTTCATAATGTTTTGATTTTGAACTTTTTTCAGGTGTTGGCCAAACCTTTAAATCTTCAAGATCAATGTCAACAAAACCTTGTCATGCAGGTCTTGAAACTGGTCCTCAACTGTCTTAACTTTGACTTCATTGGCAGTTCAGCAGATGAATCTGCAGATGATCTTTGCACGGTGCAGATTCCTACAACTTGGAGAACAAGTAAGAAAAAAAGTTTAGTAGAAAGGATGGTCAGTATAAAATGTGTGTAATTAAGCAGTGCAGTTGCTCTATGTATAATTACCCCTGGTTTTTCCTAGACAGTCAAAACAGAGCTCAAGAAGATTTTTAACTCAAAGTACCTGCTGATGCATACTTCATAACACAGTTACTGTCATATTGATTTTGGATAAGAAGAAAAGACAACTTTTGAGCTGGATGAAAGGCTGACGGGAATATCAAGAGCTATGTTTTGAAACTTTCAGATAACAGTTGAAGTAGATCCAATAGTTGGCAAGAGATGTCAACAGATTTTTCAGAGTTATAAAGAGTTAGTTAGAGTAAGTGACTTAGCAGAGTTGCAACTTATATTTTCTCAGGAGGGATAACAAGAAAAAGCAAGTTAACCCCATATCTCAGAAAGATGGTAATAGCTACGGTACCCCTGAAGTCAAGCAGAAGGCAATGGGGCTGAAAAGACAGAAAATCTATATTCTGCACAAACCTTTAGGATCTTCTCTATTACCTGTGCAAATGGGTGACTACGTTTTCCCCTGTGTATCTGTGCTACCCTCTTGCTTCCATGACTAGAACTTAAGAAATTAAATTAGAGAGGCTTCAGGTTCAGGAATACTAGGTATAATAGAGGAATACCATCGATTATATGAGAACTTCTAATATGGAGATTAGAGACTAAACCAGTAGAATGGGATTTAGTGTTCTGTTTTTTAATTGTAATGATGAATTCATGAACCAAAACATAAAATAAAAAATTCACAGGCTAAAAAAAATTCACAGGTTTGCCGGCGCCGTGGCTCAATAGGCTAATCCTCTGCCTGCAGTGCCAGCACCCAGGGTTCTAGTCCCGGTCCGGGCACCAGATTCTGTCCCGGTTGCTCCTCTTCCAGTCCAGCTTTCTGCTGTGACTGGGAGTGCAGTGGAGGATGGCCCAGGTGCTTGGGCCCTGCACCTGCATGGGAGACCAGGAGAAGCACCTGGCTCCTGGCTTCAGATCAGCGTGTTGCGCCGGCCGCAGTGGCCATTGCGGGTTGAACCAACAGCAAAGGAAGACCTTTCTCTCTCTGTCTCTCTCTCTCTCACTGTCCACTCTGCCTGTTAAAAAAAAATTCACAGGCTAAAAACATGCATATATTTATATGTGAGTTGATATAAGGTAGGAAATATGAATAAGATTGGTATGTTATATCAATATGAGTTTCCTGGTTGTGCAATTACACTCTGATTTTGCAAGAAATTATCGTGGGGAACTAGGTCAAACATGGGTCACTGTACTATTTCTTGCAACTGCATATAAATTTAAAATCTCAAAAAGTTTACTTAAAAAGGGGTGGGGAGTTATTAGAGACAAGATGAAGAGTAGAAATAAACTTAAAAATGTTGTAATTCATATCCTAAGAGAACAAAGAAAATGAGATAAGAACAGGATATTGTTTTAAAGAGGAAAATTCTGAGAATGTTCCAAATTTAAAATATAGGTGACAAAATAAAATATTTAGTAGGAGAATGGGAAGATAAAGTTAGCAAATTCTCCTAGAAGGTAGAACAAAAAAGCAGAGAAATATTTGATAGTATACAAGAGAATTAGAAGATGAAACTAGGAGGTCTGGCATCTGACTGGAATTCTAGGGAGAGAGAACAGAGGAAACAGAAGGAAATTTGCAGACAAATAATGCCCCCAAAAGATTTGACACTAAAGCACATACATTTTTTAATTGAAAGGCATCACTTGATCTCTAACATAATGAAAGTAAAAAGATAGGCACTTAACTTCATAATCGTGACATTTCAGAATAGTGAAGAACAAAAAATGTGCCAGAAAAAAAAAGTAAGTCACTTACTGAAGACTGGGATTAAGAATGGTATAGACTTCTCAGCAGTGGAACTGGAAGCTAGGAAACAATGCTATAGTGATAGCCTCACTATGAGAAAATTATTTTTAGATTGGAACAGAATGATCAAACATAACGGAAAAAAGGCATTTTTAGACTTGCAAGTCCTCCCCAGCTTTATCTGTGGTGTACTTGCTCTCAGGAAGTTTCTTGATGATATACAAGCCAAAGAAGATAGGGGATTTGGGAAAAGGATGCGTTGATGCAAGATAACAGTAAACAAAAAGGAGACAGATGTAGAACAAAGTTAGGGAACAGCCAGTTGAAGACTAGAGGTAGATATGGAGAACAGAAATGATAGGTTATTTGATGCTGTTGATTGGATGGAAAATGTTGTGAAGAACATTTTGCAAATATATTTGCATTTGGAAAGAGTTACTAACAGATATTCAAGGAAATTTTAAGTTCTGGAAAAATCGGATTAAAAGATGTTTATTTTGGTGAAAAACTTTTGAAAAATTTGTGTGTAGTTTTTTCATAATATGCATCTTGCAAGAACTTTTTGAAGTACGTCTGTATAACTAAGCCCAGAAGAGATGCTGTGATTAAGTTCAAGGAGTAATAGAAGTGTGATATAATCATAGTATGTTTCTTGACTCAGTTCAAATTTATTGCATAAGCATCACAAATATAAGCACATAGGATTGTTTTAATCACAAATTGTGATGATAGTGGATGCGTTTTGAGAGAGGATGGATTTGGAGAGAATGGTGGAAATGGTTAGATTATATGATGAATGGTTAGGTTAGTGAGGTAGACTCATTCACTGTAATATTGAAATCAGTTGATATCTGTAGTAAAGCAATCGAATGAAGAAACAGTAGTCTAGGATATTCTTTGGAAATATAGGTAAATATGTATAGCTGTAAGAGCTGAAAAGTAGATGGAGTGGGATAAGTTATAGCTCTTATAAGTATTTTTATTTTTAGTATTATTTACTTTTTGATCCTATTTTACATTTTAAGCATTGTTTCTATTACTTTAATATAAATTGAAATAGAAAACTTCCCCGATTAGAATTGTAGATACTACATAGAAATAAGGACCATCTTAGCTAATTAATTTTTCTGTTGAAAAAACAAACACAGATTAAGTTGCTCTTACTATTCACTCACAACACAGATCACTGCTGACACCAAATGTGTGGGAGTTTTCCCTCCACACACCAAGCAAGCAGTCCGTTCTGCACACGAGCTGGGTTTCCTCTAATCCAACCATTTTCTGGCATTACCTGCCTGCAGGCGGCATTAGGTCGCACAAGTTGAGGGCTCACTCCTTATATGTCAGTTGAAAGCCCCAGGTGATTTTGCCTGTGCTTCTGATCTTCCCTCTATAAATCAAGGTTCCCCCAATTCCCTCCTCAGGTTCGATTCATCTTCTCAAGCATCTCACAGAGCTCAGAAAAAACATTTATGTTTACTGATTTATTGTAAAGGATATTACAAAGGATTTAGATGAAAAGATGCGTAGGGTAAGGTGTAAGGGAAGGGGTGCTTGCCTTCTATGGGCACTCTTATCTTCTAGGAGCCTCCGTGTGTTCAGCTATCAGAAGCCCTGTTCTTTTGGATTTTTTTTAAGATTTATTTATTTTATTTGAAAGGCAGAGTTACATAGAGGAAGAGCGAGAGTGGGAGCTGGAGCCGGAGCTGGGGCCAGAGCGGGAGCGGGAGAGGGAGAGGGAGAGGCAGAGGCAGAGGCAGAGGCAGAGGGAGAGGGAGAGGGAGAGAGAGTGGGAGAGAGAGAGAGAGGAAGAGAGAGAGAGGTCCTTCATCCGCTGATTCATTCCCTAGATGGCTGCAATGGCCGGAGCTGTGCTGATCTGAAGCCAGGAGCCAGGAGCTTCTTTTGGGTCTCCCATGTAGGTGTAGGGGCCCGAGGACTTGGGCCATCTTCTACTGCTTTCCCAGACCATGGCAGAGAGCTGGATTCGAAGTGGAGCAGCCGGGACTTGAACCAGCAGCGGCCCATATGGGATGCTGACACTGCAGGTGGTGGCTTTACCAGCTACACCATAGTGCTGGCCCCTCCTTTGGATTTTTATGGAAATTTTATGTATAAGCATGATTGAAGCATGGACAACTGTGTTGAAATGTGATTGGATAAAAAGGGTATGATCTAAGTATATTTTATAACATTATAATTCTGTTTATATTATTTCCTCTTTTGAAGGAGACTAGTTAGTAAGAATTAAAAATAGTCCTAACTTGAAACAGTGGCAAATGTGCAGGGGTTTTGTTCTCAGTTTGTGTGTGGTAACATCTGACTTTGTTAAGATTGCTGAATTGAAAGTAATAATGTTAGAAAATAATTTTTTTTTCAGTTTTCCTGGAACCGGAAACATTGGATCTTTTCTTCAATTTGTATCATTCACTTCCACCACTGCTGTCTCAGTTAGTAAGTAAAAGTCATTCATTACTTCATTAAAAAGTAACTGTGATTTTTAATAACGGGTAATATATATTTCAGAAAATTCTGTTTATAAGTATGATTGGGTTTACCTCTCAAAGAAGTTCTTACTTTTTGGGAGATGTGTGAGTTTGCATGAATTTCAGTTTCTTGGCATCAAAATAAACGTATCTTTTAACTCCATTTTCCACAAACTTTTTGAAGTGCCCTCATATGTTTCTGTGGATTTCCCACAGGGTGTAGCCCACCCCACCTGGGCTTCCCTTCTGTTTTCCCCTTTCAGCTGTTTTTCAGCCCTTTGCTCCATTGTCTTAAGCTTGATAAGTGGTCTCCATCGGATATCTCTGAATAAGAAACAAAGGAGAGCTACTCATTTCATTTTGTATTTATCACTCTAGTTTTCATTTATTTTTTGAATTAAAAGCTGTTGCATGTTCACAAAATTCTTGAAACTGTATGGTTTCCATCTTTGCAGAATCAGAAACAGATCTGTTAAGGCTAAATTTTTTTCTGAGTTCAATATTCAAGCTTATAAAATAAAGTTGGGAAATTTTAATATTGTCATTTCCCAAAGAAAGATGTTTCAACTTTAAAGTACATCTAAGTGCTACAGATGTAGGAATGTTATTTCCTAGAAGGGAAGGACAGAGTCACAAAAACATCCTTTTGTACAAAACATTTCTAGGGCAGGTGTTTGGCATAGTAGGCCATTAGGATGCCTTTGTTGTATATTGGGATCCGTAAGTTCAAATCCTGGCTCTGGTTCCTGAGTCCAGCTTCCTACTGATACAGAGCTGGGAGGCAGCAGTGGTCACATGAGTAATTGGGTTCTTCCCACACAAGTGGGAGACATGGATTGCATTACTAGCTCCCAGCTTCATTCAGCTCCTGGTCGTTGCAGGGCTTTGGAGAGGGAAACAGCAGATGGGCTTCCTCTTTATCTTTCTCTCTCTCGCTCCTCTTTTTCTCACTCTTCCTCTTAAATAAATACATACAAATTTAAAGAAACACGAAACATATCTGCTCTTGAATGTAGGCTTTAAGGTAATGATTTTTAAACTGGGTTTCATAGGGTACTTATATTTCTCAGGTAATGCCGCAGCCTTCTTCTCACTGGAAGTCTTAGGTGTTTGAAAACCACAGTTTTATGTAATTATTTATTGGGATAAAACAAAAAAGGTATTGGAGCTTAAAAAATAAAATAAAAATATAACTGCTTTGAGAGTTAGTAAGCTCACATTCATTGAGCATATGCTATTACATGGTACTTATCTCACTCAGTCCTCAAACTGGCTATGCAAGGGGAATAATGCTGTCTTCATTGTGTAGACCCAGAAAACAGATCCAGACAGCAACAAAGTAAATGTTTATAGTGTGATTCAAACCCAGGTCTTTTTGGCTCAAAAACCTTTATCTTAGGGAGGTTTTTCTATTGTTTGTTTTTGGTATTTGGGTTTTGGTTTTAAACAGTAGGGACTGTGGCAAACCTGGAGCACATCTCAAAAGGACATCTGATTTTTTTTTCCTATTTTTACCTTTCCCAAGACAGACATTTAGTATGAAAACTCCTAATTGATATAATTAAATATTAACTGCTAATTTTAATTTTTAAAAGTAAAGTTAGCAAATATGTGACCCAAAGAAAACATATTAGGCCATTTGGGCCTGACATTATCGATTTGGGGCCTTTCACTTTATCTGACACATCAGTGGGTACCATTTATAGATTTAAGAACCTAAGTTATAGAATTGTCTGGAAACTTTAGGATGGTAACTAGTAACTAGGCCACAGGTACTTTTCAAGATTTTTTTTATTATTATCTAACCTACAGCACAACATTTCCCAAAGTGTTCCTTTAGATATTAATGCATAGTATAACATATATCCCTGTATGTTAACTGGATTGCCAAGTTACAAAGTTTGTCCCACTTGCAGGGCACCACAGTGCATAATGTGTAGTGTTTTTTAAATATATTGTGCCACAAGCCACCTTTTCTTTTTGATAGAATACCTGGTTCATTGGTTCACAAATAGAAGTGGGTATCATTAGCAGTTGGGAGCCTTTCAAACATATGCATGTCCAGTCCTACTCTCTCTGACTTAATATGTGAAAAAACATTAAAGAGGATCACATACAGATAGGAATTTTAGTGGTGGTTTAGAATGGTTGTGGGCGGTAGTGGTAGTTGATGATGTTTAGTTTCATTATTTTTGTATTCTGTAATGCTTTCTTACCATTAACATTAAATACATATACAATGTAAAGACTAGTATTCCTTACATGTGGCCATAGTTACTTTTAAAATTGAAATGATTTTTTTTTATTGTTTTTAGGCACTTTCATGTTTAGTTCAGTTTGCTTCTACAAGAAGGTCCTTATTTAGCAGTCCTGAACGTGCCAAGTACCTTGGCAATTTAATTAAGGGAGTAAAAAGGATACTTGAAAACCCTCAGGTATTTATGAAGTAATTTAATTAATATTTAGCATTTAGAAATAGTTTTTCTGCTCAAAGGCACATAATAAACTCATCATGAATTTATTATGATTCTGGAAGAAAAAATTTAGTATCATATTCATCTTCTTTAGGTCTCATTTGTTGTAGAAACAGGCGATTTTTAAAAATGGGTATTTCCATAGCAGACTTCTGCATTCTTCCTCTTTTATTTTCTTTCATATGGTCGTGGAAAGAAGTTATATATCTTACTATGCTTCTGCTTTCACCATTTTGCTGTATTTTTTTGCCTAGACCTGTTAAACTACTGAAGTTGAATTCATTTAGGGTTATATGTACCTTCTAAAGTAGAAGGCATAGTATAAATCTGAATGCTAATATTGGAATAAGTAGCTGTGAATTTTGAAGCAACATCTTTTTTGCCCTCTTGTGGGCAAATAAGAGTTTGTAGACTTTGAAAAGCTACTCTACATTAACTTCAGAGCTTCAGTGGCAACACTCATTTCAGAGAATTTGCAAAGTCATTATTAAGAAGTGATTTTGGGTGCTTAGACTATTTTGTTTCACTCTTAATTTTGTTTTTGATTTAAAATATCTAATTACAGTGCTGGTTTTAAGAACTTAAATGATGATGTAAAGAGATTTATATAAGTCTTGAGCTAGTAATAACTGTCAGGAGGACATATATATCTTTGTACATAAATAACATGTACTTGTTCTACAAAAGGAAGTTGTTTCTGCATGTTATTTTTAGGAGTATTTTATGGGTTATATGTTTGTCTTTTCAATGTTAGTATGGTTGTGAAATTTCCTTGTTTTGCTGATAAATACGGTTTTGCTGCTCACTTTCAGAAATTTTAGTTGTATCATCAACCAAGATATGGAAATAATTTGCTAGATATTGGATAATTCTTTTAAATGATTTTTCAACATGCACATATTGATTTCTCATGGCTGTGAGTTAGTTTGAATATATTAGAATCACAAACATGTATTAAAAGAACTATAACTATAAAATATCTTTTCTGTAATTTATCCTTAATAATTAGATACTATTTTGTATTATTTCTGGGGACCCCTAGAAGTAAGTTTCCTAGGAACTTTATCAGTATTAAAAAGATACTTTTTGAATTGTGTTTTATGGCAGCTGCAATACGTATTGCAAAGTTCTCAAACTATACAGATAATAACACAGACACAGACAAAGACAGTGGGGAGGCCTTTTTGGTCTTTGCTTTTAATTCTCCCCCAAAAGTTACTTAGGTGTTCTGTAGCTTCTTTGTGAAACTTTGTTCCTTATATTGAGAAAATTTATTTGAAAGACTGTCTACTTGGAGATAGGGAACTGCTTGAGGACACGATGCCTTTAAGTGCTCAATAAGTATTTGTTGAAATAAAAGAAATTTGTAACTTGTGTGCACACCCACACCATTTAATTTATGTCCAGTTAGTGTTGCTGTTTTCCAGGACCTCAAGAGTCCATTCTTGGTTTTCACCTTTAGTATTTTTCAAGTCCTTTCTTGACTTCTCTTTAAGCCACAGTGAACACATCTGCAGGCCACATGCGTACACATGTGATTTTTTTGTTCAATATAATAGGTTCTCAAACATTACAGTTTAGTTGTTCCAATGCAAAGCCTTGACTTTGGATTTCTTATATTGATGACAATATTAAATCTTGCAGAAATCACTTGTTTTCTTATGTTGTGATTTTTCTGGTTGACATATGTATTCCTGAGAACCGGGAAACTTAATAAAATACTTTGGAAGTTTATAGACTTAATTATCAGTGATTTGTTTTTTAAATACTTTTAAAAGCCTTTCTTTTTGTCCCATAATTTAGGGTTTGTCTGATCCAGGTAATTATCATGAATTTTGCCGATTTTTGGCTCGGCTAAAGACAAATTATCAGCTAGGAGAATTAGTTATGGTGAAGGAGTATCCTGAAGTTATCAGATTGATTGCTAATTTTACCATTACTAGCCTACAGGTAAGTAAAAATATAAAATTAATTTAAATTATAGATCGTTTTAAAACACTTTCTTGCTCAGAGTTGGTGAGGGTATATTTTTAACATCTATTTATTTGAGTGCAGGAAGTGTTCATTGCAACATTTTAGGTAAAAAAAAAGTTCATTGCAACATTTATAATGATAAAAATTGAGAAGCCACTTTAATATATAATAGTTAAAGAATGGCTTGAGAAGTTGTAGTAAAATCTAAATGAAGAAAAAAGAATATTTTTATAGATTTCATTCTGGAAAATTCTTTTTGTAAGTTAGGGGTGAGGTTACAAAACCTATTTTCCGCATGATGTTGACTCTGAAAAGTACTCATTGAATGATTAAAAAGAAATGTAGTAATAATTTAATAGTTATCATCTCTGGTGGAATAATGAGAGACACTTGTATTTTTTATATTTATGAAATTTACAATAGTAAGTATTCATCAGTTACATAATCAGAATACTGGTAGAAGTTAATTTTAAAATATGTGTTAGTAATTTTGCTCCATAATTTCTGGTCCAGGGAGCTATAATGTCACTTAAAATAACTTTTGCTTTGTTTCTTTGTAGCACTGGGAATTTGCTCCCAACAGTGTTCATTATTTATTAACACTGTGGCAAAGGATGGTAGCATCAGTTCCTTTTTTGAAATCAACTGAACCTCACTTATTAGACACCTATGCTCCAGAAATCACCAAGGCCTTTATTACTTCTCGGTTGGAATCTGTGGCCATAGTTGTGAGGTATTGAAAAATTAAATGTTTCTCTGCTATTTTCATCTTTGACATCATTGATTTTTTAAAGATTAGAGTATAATTTTAAAATTTATGCTTTTTAGTGTACTTTTATGTGTTCTGACAAGTGTACACAGCTAAACCACTACCGTCATAATTGAGATTTAGAATCATTCCATCCATTCTATTGTATGTTTTTATAGTCAGTCAGCCCTTTCCCTACTCTCAGCTCTGGCAACTACTGATCTATTTTGTTTTCTTCTAATTTTTGCTTTTTCTAGAATGTTGTATAAATGAAATCATGGGGTATGTATCTTTATAGTCTGGTTTCTTTCACTTAGCATAATGCACTTGTGATTCCTCCATGTTTAACTGTTCCTTTTCATTGCTGAGTAGTATCTATTTTGTGGATATGTAAAGAGTTTGTTTATGCGTTCATCCTTTGATGGACTTTTTTTTTTCTTTCATTTTTGTCAATGTCACTAAAACTACTAAAAACATTCCTGAAGAAATTTCGATATGAGTATAAACCTCTACTGATCTTATTAAGATGACACTTCCTCTCTGCTTATGGCCAGGTGCCTTCATGGGGAGAGGGGAGGAAAGCCGCATGCTCTCCATTCATGGGGGTGGGTGGACACCCTGCCCCCACTAGTACTTAGGCCAGATTCGGAGTGACTGGGGACTGCAAAGTTCTCCTTCAGGAGTAGCACCAGCGGCAGGGGCCGCTGCTGGTTCCTCTCACCCAATCCGAGAAAATACTATCCCCATCGGCTCCAGCTGCCGGAGTTGCTGGTCGTGGTCGTGTCGTTCCTGCTGCTGTATAAATTGTCTTCTTTCTGTAGGCTTCCCACTGCAAACTTCTCTCCTACTGTCCCCTGGGAATGTGGTTCCTCCCCGTTCTGGTGTCTTCCCATGGTCAAAATCAGACCATTTTTTCTCTATTAAGCCGTTGTATACCAACCCCCTAGTTTTATATTTTTAAAAATAACTGAGTTGCCATTATTTCAGAGTGAGGAATACTACAAGAATATTCAAATTCAACATTTTGACTTCTTGTGAAAAGCAAGTACTTTGGGCCCCCTGTAGCCACATGTGTGGAACTCAGCAGTGGCCGAGGTTTGGAAGGAGTCTACACAGGTTTATTTCTTATCTTCATTCCATTTGTCTTTCTCTCTTTATCCATTGTAGGCTTTATGTAACACAAAGTTTATTTGTGATGAATAAAAAGAATGAAACATATTCTAATGTAATCTGTAAATCTTGCTCTTGTATATCCACAGAGATCATTTAGATGACCCACTGGATGATACCGCTACTGTGTTTCAGCAATTGGAGCAGTTGTGCACTGTCAGCAGATGTGAATATGAAAAGACATGTACTCTTCTTGTACAGTTATTTGACCAGAATGCACAGAATTACCAAAAACTTCTACATTCAGCTTCTGGACTAACTGTAGACATGGCAATTCAGGAAGGTCAGTTAATTTTTTGATTATTATGTATTATGTTGAATATTCAGTAACATCATTAATCACTTTATTTAATAATTTTATTGCAAAGTATTTTTATGCCCAACCCCAATTCCTGCTCCTCTAATAAACAATTACTTTTATTAACCTTCTGGATGTTTTAGCAGCTTCATAGTTGAGTTTTAATTCTCCTTTATAAGATTCATAGAAAATATTTCTCTCTGGAATCAGTATCAAGAAAAGCTGATAAGGATCCTTGAGCAGATAGCTTATTAACATAACTATTTTTCATCTAATCATCTTTCCCTCTTTGCTATAAGTATAGCTGACTGCAAACTGAGAACCGAATTTCAGCCAGTATAAAAGTGTATAAGACCCCATCATGACTTTGCTTTTATGTATTTGATTTCACCATGATTTTATTTCTTATTGATAAATTCTTCAATGTGCTTTGTTTAATTCTTTTTTTTTTTTTTTAGATTTATTTATTTATTTGAAACTCAGAGTTACACAGAGAGGAGAGGCAGAGAAAGAGAGAGAGAGAGAGAGAGAGGTCTTCCATCCGCTGGTTCACTCCCCAGTTAGCTGCAATGGCCAGAGCTGCACTGATTCAAAGCCAGGAGCAAGGAGCTTCTTCTGGGTCTCCCATGCGGGTGCAGGGGCCCAAGGACTTGGGCCATCTTCCATTGCTTTCCCATGCCTTAGCAGAGAGCAGGATTGGAAGTAGAGCAGCTGGGACTCAAACCGGCACCCATATGGAATCCCAGTGCTTCAGGCCAGGGCATTAACCTGCTGTGCCACAGCGCTGGCCCCTTGTTTAGTTCTTTATTGAAAGGGGAAGTATTTCTGTGTACCCCTTTAAATCCTTTCAGGAACATAAAAGAGTATATAAATATATATAGTAGTTTAGATTTTAAAATGAGATGTTTTATGAGAATGGAACTAGATTTATCCATTTCTAATAGAAGAGACCCTAATTACAGTCCCAGATTTTTTTTTTTCCCATAGGTGTTTCTTTTGTCTTCTGGTAGAAGGTGAGTTTAGTAAAGGATCATAGTAAAGTTTATTTCCAATAATTTTCCACCCTAACTCTTTCTAAAAATTCTTTCCAAGAATAATTAGAATGCTTTTCACTTATTTTAAGTTGCATAGTTGCTATGGAACAGTAGTTAACCTTCTGTACTTTTAGTATTCTTTCTTTTTATTGGGATTACATTATTTATAAGTTAAATGGGGGAGAACTAACTTTTTTTGCAGCATTCTCTTTATTATTGATTTCATCTTTCAGTGAAGTTTATAAATTATTAAATATAAAATACAAAAGAATATTTGTGTGAAAGTATTTCAGAAAGTTTGTGGATTATCCAACTAAGAAATAAGTTTGGTGCAAAAAGTTTTAGAAATGTTTGTATATATAAAGGATCTTCAAAAAGTTCACAGAAAATATGTGTTATGAAAAAAACCCTGTCAATTTCAAAATGTTTTTGTATCCAAATAAACTTATTTTTTAATTCCATTTTCCACAAACTTTTTGAAGTACCCTTGTACATATTGATAGAGAATAGCAGTAACAATGCCTGTCACCTGGCTTAAACAAATATGTCAATGTCAGGATCTTTGCAGTATTCTTTGCTTTTCTTTTTAAGTATGTCCTCCCTCCCAGCAGAAAATTTTACAATTTTGAATTTTGTGTATATCAGATAATGTCTTTTCTTTATAGTTTTATGATATAGGTATGTACTTTGAAAATAATATATATTTTTGCATATTTCTGAACTTTATAGAAATGGAATCACACTGTATTTATTCTTCTACAACTTCATTGTTCTCAGTATTACATTTATGAGCGCTCATTCAACATTGATGGCACGTAGCTGTAGCTGTTTGATTTTTACTGTTATTTACTGTTGTTTGAATATACCACATTTGTTTATGTATTTTCTTGTCAATGAGTACATGTGTTTTCTCTGTTTTTTGCTAATACAGTATTGCTGTAAAGGTTGTTCTATATATCTATAATGCATTTGACTTTATTAGATAGTGTCAAACTGTTTTATCAAGTGATTGTACTACTTCACATTTCACCAACAGTGTTCATGAGTTTCAGTTGATCTGTATTAAGAATCAGCAGAATTTTTCTTAATGTGCCAGGTAGCAGATCTTTTAGGCATCTGTGTAGTACTCAACTTTGCCTTTGTTGCCAGAAAGTAGCTGTAGACCATATGCATGGCTGTGTTCCATTAAAATTTTGTTTACAGAACAGGAGGCTATAAGTTCACTGACTTTGACAGAGATCATTGCCAGCAGCCTATATTACTAGAATTTATGTTTGCCAATCCATGTGAGATAAAATACCTCATGGATATATTACTTTTCACTATGGTGGTGGTCATTAGGTTTAGCTTGTTCCATGCTTATTGATTGTTAGTTGCATCATTATCAGTGAAGTATATATTATCCCTTTTTTTCCATTTGTTTTTTTGCCATTAGATTATTTGCCTGCTTCTCACTGGTATGTTTAACACTTAGGTTTTTGAATTATAAATCTCATCTCCAAGTGTTTGATTTATCTTTACATATCACTTTATGCTCTTATTTTCATGTCAAAATTGATTTTAACTAATTTTTTAATTTCTTAAAGAGATAATGCATTTACATTGTCCACAAATCTAAAAAATTAAACTGTATTCTGTTCCAGTATTCCCATTCTTCCTCACAAATAACCATTCTTACTAATTTTATCTTCCCAAAGTTTCTGTCTGCAAATGCAAATGATTATGAGTATGTAAATTCTTTCCCCCTTAATTTATATAGAATTGGCATACCACATTCACTGTTCTTATATTTTTAATTTAAAAATGTTTTATAGCTGTTTGCAAATCAGTATGTAGACGACTGTTAGAAATAGATAATACTTGACTTTCTGAACATCTCTGTATTAATCAATATTTTGTCACTGTAATGAAATGCCTGAGGTAAGGAAAGTCATTTTGGCTCATGGTTCTGGAGGTGCAGAGTTGTCTAGGCATGTTATCTGGTGATGGCCTTCTTGTCTGCAGCACAGGACATCAGATAGCAAGAAACTAGGCGTATGTATGTCTGTGTGACCTCTCCCCTCTTCTTACAAAGCTACCATGATCAAATCACGAGGTCTCAACCACAATTACCTTATTTAATCTTCATCACTTTCCAGAGGCCCACTTGTGAACACCAGTTAGATTACATTTCTATCTTCCGAATAATATTAACATATGACTTTGGAAATTAAATTCTTGCATGAGTACAAGAGAGCAACCGTAGTCATATCCTTGTGGTATCCATTTATTTAATCCCTTCGCTGTTGATAATCATTACAGTTGCTTACAGTCTTCTATTATAAGTGTTATATAGATTAATGTTGTATAAATGTCATTTTATGTGTGTAAAAGTCTATAAGAAAAATATCCAGACATGGAATTGTTGGGTGGAAGGGTTAAGATGTTTATAATTTTATAAATACTGTCAACTTCTTTTCTGTCAGGAATATGCTGGTTTAGGTATATAACAACAATTTATGAGATGTTTCCACATAGTCTTCAGAGGACCCATTAATATTACCCCTTAATAGCTTCATTTTATAATTTAATATGTGCATCTCTCATATCAGTGAGGTTAAGTGTTTCAGTTTCCCTTAATTTGCTCTTCCTTTTTTGTATGTGAATTATTCATTTCCTTTGCTCATTTTTATATTGAGTTGTTGACCCTTTTTCTCTCATTGATTTCTTTTTTTTTTTTTTTTTTTTGGACAGACAGAGTAGATAGTGAAAGGTCTTCCTTTTGCCGTTGGTTCACCCTCCAATGGCCGCCACGGCTGGCGCGCTGCTGCCGGCGCACCGCGCTGATCCGAAGGCAGGAGCCAGGTGCTTCTCCTGGTCTCCCATGGGGTGCAGGGCCCAAGCACTTGAGCCATCCTCCACTGCCCTCCCGGGCCACAGCAGAGGGCTGGCCTGGAAGAGGGGCAACTGGGACAGAATCCGGCGCCCTGACCGGGACTAGAACCCGGTGTGCCGGCGCAGCAAGGCGGAGGATTAGCCTAGTGAGCTGCGGCACTGGCCATTTTTCTCTCATTGATTTCTAAGAGCTCTTTATATTTTACGAAATTGAGCCCTTTATTTGTGATCAGAGTTGCAAATATGCCCAGTCCCCCTTTTTGAGTTTACTGTTTAATGAATTTAGCAACTATATATAGCTGTGACCACACCAGCCCATTCAGCATAGGGGACACTTCTCTTTTCTTATGCCTTTGACCCCATCCTTAGTTCCTGGCCCAGGCAGCCACTGGTCTGATTTCTGTCGCTAAGGTTTGTCTCTTTTTTAAACTGTCCTATAAATGGAATCATACAGTAAGAGTCTTTTGTGTTTAACTTTGGGTAGCGTAATGTTTTTGAAATTAAAATATATTTTGTATATTAATATTTTGTTCCTTCTTGTTGCTGCATAGCACTACATAGTATGGCTTTTCCATAGTTTATCTCTTTACCAGTTGGCGGACATTTGAATCAGGCTTCTGGTTTTTAGCTGTTCTGAATCATGATGTTGTGAACATTTGTGATCCAGTCTTTGTATGTGTATATTACATATATATAATCCCTTTTTCACATATGTTTTGCAAGTATTTTCTCCAAGTCAATGGTTTGCCTTTTTAATTGTGTTTTTTTTTTTAATTAATTTATTTTACTTGAAAGTCACAGTTACACAGAGAGAGAAGGGGAGGCAGAGAAAGAGAGAGAGAAAGAGAGAGAGGTCTTCCATCTGCTGGTTCACTCCCCAGTTGGCTGAAATTGCCAGAGCTGTGCTGATCCAGAGCCAGGAGCCTCCTCTGGGTCTCCCACATCGGTGCAGGGGCCCAAGGACTTGGGCCATTTTCCACTGCTTTCCCAGACCATAGTAGAGAGCTAGATTGGAAGTAGAGCAGCACCATATGGGATGCCAGCACTGCAGGTGGCAGCTTTACTTGCTACGCCACA